AGTCAGGTCTCCTGGCGTCCTGGCAAACCCCCTGAGGACAACGTTTTACTGCAAAAGAAGGCAGCATTACTTCTTCCTCAAGCCTTCTTCTCTTACTAAATAGGTCCAGCAAGGTCCTTCAAAGGAAAAGCTGGCCTGCTGAGAGGTGGGAATCACAACATCTCTGTCCTCAGCTATCTTATCAGACAATGTTAACCAAGCTTTCCTTAGCAGCTTGGGCAGTGTCCCACCTGCAGTGTGGGCTGCCCAGTTGCCAGAAAGCCACACACAGGAGGCACAGGAGAGGCTGCCCCTTCTCCTGGGACAGTGAGGTGCCTGGGCTATTGATGTAGGGACACACAACTTTTAGATGCTTACATCACTTGTAAGGAAAGGTCCTGGTCAGTGCACCTGGCTGCCTCTCTGTGTTTTGCATATGCTTGGAAAACACTTCAGCAGAGCAGTGTGTGAAGTGGCTGAGATACTTACCTGCCCCAATAGATCGGTGGTGCTTCAGAAAGCAGGGAACAGCTTTGAGAAAAGAGACTGTCAGCAGCCCAAGTTACTTTTTTTTTCTTCCTTGTGGTTGTGTCTGTTTCTCACTGTGTCACAGAAGTTCAAGTCCCAACAGGTCTTGATTGGCCAAGACGACAGGCTGAGGAGCACCCCCGTATGAGATACCCTGTGTCCCCTGGAGGTGCTGCAGTGTCATCCAGACAGCTTCCTCTGAGAGGCTGTGCTCCCACCATTGTTGGAAGAAAACAGCCAGGAGCTGCTGTTCAGCTATGTTTTTCACAGCTCTGTGTGTTTTGCTGGTGCATCCTATGCTTTGTGGAAAATGTCCCAGTGTTGCTCAAGGTAGCAGTACATTTCTTTACCCAGTACCACATAAATGACAAGTAAAATGTGTGCAAGCCTATGTAAAGCTGTTCTACCCATATCAAAATATTTGAGAAGTTATCTTTTATGCATGAAGCAGGTTCAACTCAATGCCTGACTATTCTCCCTCTGCTGCACGCATGCGTGGATACTGCCTGAGTACCACCTTTCCTTACTCAGGGATCCCAAACATCAAGTCAGCTTTGGGTGGGAGTGAAAGGCAAACTTACTTAAGACACCGCTTCTTTTCTGAGTTACACCTCTGTAAATCCAGAGCAATTCCAGGGGAACCAACCTGAACCAGCATCAGCAAATTTGCTCTTAGATCAAGCACAGAGTGTTTGTTATAGTTGTTATTAAATGATGCCTTTACATATTCCAGGACTATTTTTAAAACAAAGGCAATGAAGTTAGGGCATCCAGTTCTATATATGGACACTCCAAATGGCACTGAAATGCCTCATGCATGTGTTTGGCTGAGTGTTGATTTGGGTGTCCAAATATGGACCTCAGAATGGGATATCTTACTTGGATAAGCATCCCTGTAAATTTGGCTCACAGCACTTATTTGAACAAAGCAAATTTATTTCTATCATTTAGCATGGAAAAAAGCACAAATTGTTTTCATTTTGTGGGACATCCTTATTCACGGAATTGAGCCACTCAGATACTGTCATGTGTAGGAGTCTGGAAATAAAGAAAGTCATCAAAATCATCTAAGACATCACGGGAGTAAATGAATGCAGAGTGTTTGCAGCACACAGACCCCTCTTATCGCAAGGGCAAAATTCTCGCTGACAGCAAGAATTTAGTGCCAGCAGAAGGACCCATGCAGCTTAATCACAGCAAACTCCCCCTGTGCCCTGGCAGTGTGAAGGGATGCGTGCAGGGCCGGCTGCTCAGAGACCTGAGGCAAAGCCACCTCGCTTTGCTCATGATCTGCATCTCAAAACTGTCCGTGTGCAAGAGCTGGAGCGATGGCTGCTGCACACAGGAACCTTCCCCTGTATCTCCCAGTGCATCAGGATTTTCTTTGTCTGGCTCCTTGATGGCGAGTTCTCCAGGGTAGAGCTTGGCTTGACTATTAGGTCGTAGTGTGTAATAAATAATGTCAGCAGTGAGCAAGTGCTGCTCTGCAAGTGCTTGCTGGATTCCTGTTAATTGTGGAGGACCTTTACATCCTTTGTGTAATTTCATTCATTTTTTTGGCATTGTACAAGGGATAGAATTGGCCTCAAAATAAAGCAGGTTTCTCTTGCATTATGTATCGCACCATTTGGTCTACATTTTCCTCAAGGTTTATGTGTACTTAGATATTTCTTCCCAGATATGCAGCTGGAGATATTTTTAAAATAGCAAACAATGAACTGATTCAGCTGTCCAGAGCAGTTGTTCACATTTTGAATTTTGGGGTAAGTTGTTCAGAAAGTGTAAGGTGGGCAAATTTTCAGGAAAGCTAAGGTAAGTTAGTGACCATTGGAAACGTGTGAAGCCAGCTCCAGCCCAAATCGCTCTCTCTGCCTCTGCTGTCCTGATGATTTTTGACAAGCTGATTCCATTTCTGGGAAAAAAAAACCCAGTTCACCCAAGAGAAAGATTTCTTTAAAAAGTCTGTTGTTTTTCAGAAGAGTGAAAATGTGTGCTAACAATTCTGGACCACTGACAAAAGCAAAATCAATACACACGGCCTTGGTTTTACAGCCAAGTTCAGATGAATAAATAGAGATGCAGCAAGCTGTTTACTAGGGAGACAAGCTTTACTCTATGTGCCCTTCCAAGCAGGCATGCTTAGGCTGTTGTTGTTTGCCTTACATGGCTGGTTAATGAAATCAGTCACACAGTTCCAGAGCCCACTGGACATTTGCAACCCCTCCATCAGCAGCGCTGGCCGAGAGCTAGGAAGCAAATGCTATTGTGTGAGATAGAGGTCTGGGGGCATTTGGGAGAAGTTTGGTGCTTTGAAGAACCTTTGATTCCAGGGGGAGTTCATGCACAGAGAAGCCCCATCCTTACAAAAGGGAGGCAGAACATGCTCTGTACACTGCTCCAGATGCAGTGTGAGCAAACTGTGCTTGCACAGATCCCCTCAAAATGAATGAAGCTGCAGCCAGGGTATCTATCCAGGGCTGTTCTCCAAGATCAGGAGCCATCTCTGCACTGTGCTAAGTGCAGCCTTTCTCCCCATGCCTTAAACACTGCAGAAACTGAGATATGTCAAGATGGAAAGGACATAAATAGAGATTTAGAGAACACTTATACATAATTTTCTGAGACTTCAGATTGTGGTGTTTTTTGATCTGTGACTAGGCAGGTAGAGGAATGAATAACCACATGCACAAAAGGGAAAAAAATAATAAAACAACAGCACATTTAAGTGCATTTTTTTTTCTTGGAGATTTATTTTGTTTTAATAAATCTGACACCAGTCAGGGAGAGAGAAAAGCGTTGCAAGCCCAAAAGGAAAGCAGAGCACACTGAGGGTGCTTCAGATTCTTGCTCTCTTGAAGATGTTCCACCAGTATGTCTTTCAACTCTCTCCCTAGACTCAGGAGTTGTTGGATTCATCCCCACCCTCCCTTTTTTTTTGTTGCTTTTTTTTTGTTTGTTTGTTTGTTTTTTTAAAAAGCGAGCTTACTCGCCCGGTGTGATTTCCAAGCTTTCACAGCTCTAATAAATAAGGAGCACCTGTAAAACAGTAGCTTGACTGAAGTGAATCTGTACAAAGGAAAATATAGAAATACAGTATATACATAGTGCTCATAGTGCACCATCACTACAAGGCTCTGGTTTGGCTGACTCTGCTGCTCTGCTCCCAACACCACTGACACAGACACTGCTCCTGCAAACTGCTCCTCGCTCCCCTGCAGCAGCCTTATAGAAAAGGTGTACTCTGAACACTCAAGAGTGAACAATTGCTTTATTCGAGTTAGTAAACAGTTACACTGAATCACAAGGTGATCTGAAATTTTTTTTAAGTTTTTTTTCTTTCTTTTTGATTTTTTTTTTGTGGGGTTTTTATGGGGGTATTTTTTGTAGATTTTTTTTTTCCTTTTCTTTTTTTTGGTGCTTTTTTTTTCTTTTTTTTTCCTTTTATTTGTCAGAATGGGATACTCCACAACTTTCTTACCAATTCAGTGCCAGTATAACATGCTCTAGTGTACTTTTGGACTCTTGGCTACAACTGTACAAGTGCACACAAGTAAATTCTACCCTGTTATCCTCCACCCACTGATTGAGGATCAAATTGCACATTTCTCTTAACCATGACAGGAGAAAGCAAACAGTGAAACAGAATCATGGGGGATCTTTCTCACTTTACCCTTGTTTTCATTGGTTTGTCCATACCATTCTAATTATCATGAAAGGGCTATGCATATGGAGAGATTGTCTCACTGCCTTCCTGGATCACTGAAAACCATCAGGGTTGAAATTTCATCCAAGTCTTTCGTGACGCCCAGCAAATATTCCCCTCAGATTATTTTACACCTTGAGGGAATTTTGGTCTTTAGTTCAACACTCTTGCTCTGTTCCCAAATGGGGCGCTATTTAGGGGAATTTAAAGAGAAAGCTGAGAAGAATAAACATTTACTGAGTTCTCTTGGCATTCAGTCTCTGAAAAACCACAGTATAAACTATTCATGCTGCTTCTTACATCTGTCAAATCAAAAATTAAAAGCCATAAAAGTGTAACACTGAAAATATGGCATTAGAAAGGATAAAGGTGGCCTTTGTAAAAATAACAAGGAAAGTATATTAGCCAATAAAATATTCTAACTCTTCATTTAAAAGTGCATCATGGGTAGGACAGAGATGACTCTGAAGCGTTGCTACTCCAGTATTACCCCTTTCCCCCATCAAAACTTGAATAGGTCCAAAACCATACAATGCAAATCACGATTCTTAGTGTAGCAGCAAAACCACAGCAGTTTTTCAAAGGAAAAAAAAAATTAAAAAAAATTTCCATATCATTGTCCAGTCTCAAATATCTGAACTTCGAAGTCAGTGAGGGAAAAGTACCTATGTTGGTCCATGTGGTTTTTGAAACCAGGGTGAAAAATCCCCCTCAGCAAGAAACCAAGAGGAAAAAGCGTTCCTTGGAGGAGAAGAGGGG